GTGAAATAATGCATCTGGGACCTAGTTAGCTCTCCAATGTTCGTTTAAGAGGGTCCTTTTTCCTATATTGTTCTATGGGAAGTTTGTCAGAAAAGTTTATCATGAAAACTTTTTTTTTAAAAAAAAAAAAAAAAAAAACCCGCGACTTAAAAAGCGCAATTTCAAAGATACAACTTAAAAGGTGCAACCCGCGACTGGAAAGGTGCCACCAGCGATACGCGACCATTTGTCAAACTCGCTTGTGCAGTGCTGAGTGAAGTGTTATTTTTCATTTGTCAAATCGTCTTTTTCACAAAAACCAGGGAACAAGAGATATGCGACGCTAAGGTAAATATACATCTTGAATACGGTTTATTTAAGACTGTTTTGAAAACATGTCACGAGAGAAAACCTGTTTAAGGGTCGAAAAAAGAACGGAAAAATAGTTAACGATCATTCACTGAGCGTGCGTTGGATATAGCGAACGAGAGGCGTAGCGCCGAATGAGCTATGACCAATCTCGTATCCAACAAACGCGAAGGGAATGACTGCTTTACTGGAGTTTCTACATACTAAATTCGTTTGATAATCATAATGTATTGCTGTGTGGTAGCGAACGGAAAAAACCAATATTATGGCCACTTGATCAAACTTCAAAGCTGAGCTTTTGTAATTAAAGGTCAAGGTGTGGCGTACAAAGTTCAACACAAAATTTGCAAGTCATCGTTAGATTTTTGATGAAGTCGGCTGTTCTTTCTGTTTTAGCGACGTAACACGTTTTCTTTACCATAAAACGTTAATGTCAAGTGCAAAAATTTTAAGTGAAACTTCAAAGATAAGTATTGTTCAATGGTGTTATATTGTTCTGATTGTTCTTCTACTTTTGTTATGAAGATCGCATCAACTAGTATTTGCTTTACTGCCTTCCAATTCACAGGAGAAGTTTTTGCTTCCAGGAAAAGGTAACTTCAGCCTTGAAAAACTTTTGAGTGAATAATTTTCCATTTAAAGTGATCCAGTATATATCAACAGAAGTCTCCATTTTGTGCGAATGTATGCTCGGATAGTTGTCCGCGGACATTATTTGTTCGGAGATGCGTACAGAACTCGAGGAAAACTGTGAGCTTCGGGAAATAAATAGTGTCCATGGACATTTCTGCACCAAGTGGAGGCTATTATGTTCATTATCCTTCAAATATTTTTGCAACGGGTGGGAGTACAAAATTTTAAAGAACTAATTCGTGTGAGATGTTCAGTTTTCAGAGTTCTCTGGTACGATTTTATAAAAAAGAAACATTTCCTTTATTTTGTCACAACTACAAAACTCTCTCTTATCCTGAATTAAATTGCAAAGAAAGACTTACCGTAGTGGATGTAGCGCCGAGTTTAATAATAATAATCTAATTTCGGCAAGGCTGAGTAGAGTAACAACAATGATACAAAACAAATCGAAAGTGGTCTGTACTCTTAGCGACGACGACCTTCGTCAATGCAGTGGTCAAATTTTGTTGAAGACTTAGTCGGCTGCACCCCGTGAGTACACAAAATTTTGACCACTGTGCAAGTGATGAAGAATATCGTTGTCAATAAGAGTACAAACCACGTTGAACCACTGTCAATTTGTGAACACCCATGCCGATGAATGAATCGATGAAAAAGTCAACATTCTGAAAGTTTACTGACAAAGCTTTAAACTCTCTGGCTTGGCCGAACCTCAAACGTTTTCGCGTGGATGGGCGAAACTCACAGGGACAGCGAGCGAAGAAAGCGGTCAATGACCGGTTGGATCGATTTAGCAAAATGTACCGTTTGGTTTTCTCGCAGACGTGTAAAAAGATTTCAGGCAAGAATTCAGTTCTCCATTTGTCGTCTCTTCAAAGCTGTTTTGAGTTCGTCCCCTTTAGACTATTGAGCCGCTGTGCTCAGTGAAACAATTAACGCAACTTTCGCTGGTCACACATGTTATCCCAATTTGTAAACAAATCTTATTACCCGTTTACCAAGTAAAAACTGATATATTTACATATCGAAATTTATTGCCTTTACTGGTGATTGCATTTTTTATCGAAGTTCTGTTATTTTTTCACCTGTAAGGTCTCAAGCAAAACTATTTTTTCCCATTACTTCACCGCTCGCTCACAGACATTTTCCCTTGAATTCGCTGACGAATTCATCGACCACTGATATTTGTCGGAGCCAGGTGATATATGAGCTTGATAACAAGCTCATTAACTTGCTCCTTTCAGCCAACCAGGAGGCTAGAAACTCAATAACCGTGCTCCAGTTTTTAATAACCTTGGATATTTCCAGTTTTAGTTAGGGAATAATCGGTCGAGAGATGCATTTAGACCAATCGAGTGGAAACAAAAAATGTTTGACAGATTCATGATGAGAGCTGATAATAACCAGAGCTGAGTGAACCAATCAGAACATTAAAAATGCAATATCTGGAGTTTGAAATGAATAATTATCAACTATTCACCATGATGGAGGTGGTTAGTTGGTAAATAAACCCCTTCGGGCGGCTGGTATGTCGGCTGATAATGTCCGCGGCTGAGAGATTGTCCGAAAAATGAATAATTGGCCGAGAAGCGAAGCTTCGAGGGCAAATTTGAAATTTTGAGGATATTATCAGCCGACATACCAGCAAGCCAGAACGGGGTTTATTTATTTTATAACCCTCCCATTAATTTTCACATCGCAATTAAACTGCGCGTAAACACAGTAAAAAAGCCAGTGGTGATCTGATGGCGAATGCGCGTGATTGACGCAAGCAAGCAAAAAAAAAACAAACAAAAACAAAAAAACCAGTTTGGTTTCCWTCCATGTAAATAGGAGAACGGAAAAGTTGAAACTCTTATTTTGACTATGTTTCTTTTTCACGGAAAAAATCGGAGGAAAAATATCTACGCGGACGGGGGTTATTGCGTGATAACTGTCCTGTGATTTTGCACCACGTGACGTAAAGTAACCAATAATATCGCACCAAATTTAATGGATGGGTTAGAATGGTGGATATTTACCCATTAGAGTGCGCGTTCAATGCTATCCACTGTTTTAGTGCATCTCAATACCATTAATCACCTTAGTGGCTATAGAAAGGCCCAGACACACCAGTACTAGGCTAACAAAATTTGTTTGGCTTCACCAAAATATCGACAAAATTTGTCTCCGCCAGAAAAAAACGTTTGTTAACCACAAAGTGTCAGTCATATGGATTTAGAGCCTAATTTGGGAGGCATAAAAATCGTATTCTGATTTTCCTGAGTACCGATCGTCTTGCAGCATTCCGAGGTAGGTGTCGTCCGTCTTCATATTTGTGGGCTTTTGCCTGAAAGACTAGCATTTAAGAAACCTGATCAAATTTTGTTTATTGACGTTTTCTTTCAATCATGACTTGTAAATCGAAAAGTCTTTTAGATTTCACGCCTGGCAAATATTTATCTTGCTCCGAGACAGGACGACGGAGCCTCTGAAGGTTGGTTAAGGCTTCATAAAATTTGGCAGGAAAAAAAGTTAACCATGTGTATGGTGATCACGTTCGACTGATCGATTCAGAAAGTAACGAGAAACGATTAAGTTCTTCCTTTGACAAATTTGGCACAGATAGAAATAGTCTAAATGGGATCAACTGACGACTTTCAAATGGCTAAAATATTAACTGCCAGCGATTAAAATGCGAGATTTAGATCGTTAACCTTCGTGTATTCTTTCAAAATTTCATTTTCAAGTGCAAAAACGAAGTCAGATATACCGTATTTACTCGAATAAGCGCCGCGGCGCTTATTTAAGTTTTCGCGCCATAAGTGCGGCGCTTATTCAAGGAGGGCGCTTATTTAAAAATTGTACTAGACAAATTTAATTTTTCTATATCTTTATTCAACGGTACACTTTCTATCTGTCAATTTTCCTATGGACTGATGCTAAACTGATAGTAAATCTAGAATTACGAGAGAAATTCATGCGGTGAAAAAACCCCGAGCGTTTCATGATAACCCGAGCAGAGAAATACAGTCACTTTGAACTAAAGAACATCACATTTAAAGAATATAAATTGCCGATGCTGTGTTAAAATTGTTTTATAGTGTTTTTCCAATGCTAAAAAGACATCTATTTACAAAAGTGGATTTAAAACGTGAAGTACGAACTCTAGGTAATATATAATCATGGCCCCTGCTGCGTAATTGCCTAGTACGTCTCGGCGGTAAAAGATCATCAAGTGCAGTGATATTTGAAGTGATCTTGATCCATAGTTTGCTATCTCTGGTGGCTAAAATATCACAAATACTATATTTCTTCAAACAATATCCAGACTTAAAAGCCCTAGCAAACAGTTTGTCTATTCTCTTCAGATATTTATCATAATAACAGCAACCCCACACCTCAATAGCGTATGTGAAGACTGAAATAATTAGGCTATGGAAGAGCAGATCTAATTGCTCCTTAGGGCAGCCATAAAATCTACAAACTCTTAAAATATACATACGACTGCTGGCCTTACCAAGCACGTGATCAATATGTGAGTCCCAGTTCACAGAGTCATCCTCAAAAGTAACACCAAGCAGCTTGAGCTTGGTTTTACGCTCCACAATAGCGAGAGGAGCTGGTGGAACTTTCAGGCTACCACGTTTTAGTAACACTTCCCATGTTTTATTCAAATTGAGTGTCATTTGATTCTTTTCAGCCCACTCCGTTATAGAAATAACTTCAGACTCGGCTATGTTGCCATCCTCAGCGCGAACAGGGATGCTGACTGTGATATCATCCGCAAATTTAACCAATAGGCTAGAGAGTCTAAATGGCTCTCTATCATTTATCTTCAGAGAATATTGGACCTAGCACCGTCCCCCGGGGGACACCCCTGGTTATATCTATAGACTACGTAGTGATGTTATCTACCCCAACCCGTTGCTTTCTATTACTAATGAAACTGATGAGCCAGTTTAGTATATATGGATTGATATCCACATTCCTAAACTTACTAACTAAAAATCTGTGATTTAATACAGGTCCTTGATAAAATAACATCACATGAGTCAGAAGGTCACAGCATAAGAATACAAAGTTCAGAGAAAGATGAATGCCTTCAACCTTTCAACTCAGGCTCCTAGCGCAACGCAGATGATTCTCGCCGGTCAAGAACCCCAGATCCGTCCAAATGCTACAGGTGTCATCGTATATATCGTCGTCATGGCTGTTATCTTAGCAGTCGGTTTTGTTGGCAACTTGCTGACTATAGTAGCCTTAAGTTGCCATGAGCACCGAAGCAAGAGTATCACCCCATTCATGATGAACCTCGCGATCGCTGACATTATCATTATTGTCTTTGGATATCCAGTGGTGGTCGCTGCAAACTTTACTTCCTCCGGACTCAACGTGCGTAACAGTCGGTTCCAGTGCAATTGGTCGGGATTTATCAATGGCTCTGTTGGAATTGCTTCCATTGCCAACCTGACTGTGATGAGTCTGGTGATGTATTCTGTCATAAACAAGGTCAGCAACAATTCAAAAATCTCCAGATGCAAGGTAATATTCATCATTATACTCACATGGGTGTACGGAGTGATGGCTATGGTCCCGCCGTTAGTGGGTTGGAACGAGTTCGTCCCAGGCGCCTCTGGTATCAGCTGCTGTCCTAACTGGTCCCCTGAAACTAAAGCTGGAGTGGCGTACAATGTGTTGCTGGTTTTCGTTGGCTTTGTTCTTCCACTAACCGTCATTATGTGTGCTTATCACAGAATATACAGGTCATGAAACAAATTTTTGTTACAAAGGGCAATTATTATACTCAACCAATACTCCTTGTTACATATTCGATATGATCAAAATGCAGAACGTGGACTTAATTTCACGGAACACGGAGGTTCTTGGTTAAACAAAATGACCTGATTCCATATTTAATAACATGGATTTCCACGACGGAAATTAAATTTCAAAGAAGGTTTCACAAGTGGTCAGCCGTAATCATGAATTATTTAACAAATCCTATAGTTATCAAGGTTGATCCGTTTTTCTTGATACAGAGCAAATCAAATAAAAGAAAAAAAAGATAAAAGAAACGAAAAGCATTACCTGGAAAGCAGGTCACTAAGTCGCGTGGGGCTAACTTCTAGGAAAGTTACAGAGATATACTTCCAACAGGATCCTTTACTTTGCAGGTATATCTGTGCACAGAAACCAACTCATGGAAGTGCTTCGATTCAAGCCATTCGAAGAAAATCCGAAATCAAAGTCGTACGCATGATTGCCATGTCAATTGCAGCCTTTGTCTTGAGCTGGTCTCCGTACGCTATCGTCAGTATCATGGCCACCGCCCGGGGTACTAATGTACTGACACCTGAAGCGGCAGAAGTCCCGGATCTACTTGCTAAGGCCTGGGTTATCTACAATCCCGTTGTATACACAGCAATGAACGTTAGATTCCGTAAGACCTTGATGCGTATCGTTCCAATTAGCTGCATCCTCCTCAAGGATAAGAATCCATTGGGGAAAAAAATATCATCCACAGTAAAATCACGCCCCACACATGCTTGCACAATACCGGATCCGCCAAGGGATAGAGCCCATAGTGTGGTGTATTCAGGGGGTACCTTCAGTGATGATGACATCTCATTAAAAACTTCTCTCAACAGACAATGGCCAGTTCCAGTTTGAATCAGAGCTGAAGGGGCCAGATTTTAGTTTGATTCATTGGATATTGCATTGCTAACACACATATTTTACTTTTATGAGCCAGCATAATTCATTTATAATTCTTACCAGATCTCGATGGTAAGGACTAAGACAAGTGAGGCTCTAGGGACGAGAACTTCTTAAGATGTTGAAAGCATGCTGGCAAATCTTTTGCATTAAATAGTCACGTGTTGAGCCGTCCACCGCTCGAGCTGAACGCCCGCAAGTGATTGAGGGAGCGTGACCTCATAGAACGAGATTGTTAGTTGCTTATTACAAGACGCTCTTTGCGCATTGTTTTTAGGTTGAGTTGGAATTTGCAGTGATGGTGCCCAGCTTAATTTGTTATTCTACAATTGATATCGTAGTTAGAAAAATGACTTTTCATCTTGAAAATACGCTTGGTAGTAAACTGTGTTAGAAAAAAGAGAAACGTAAACACGGTTTTGATATTGTATTGTGTGCAGCCTTATGCCTTTGATCATCTTGTGATACCAATGCTATGCTTTATCGAGCTTTTTCTTATGACATTTTGGTGTAAGGTATATACATGTAACTGCGACATTCCTTCTCAGGTTTATGAGGACAGTTAGACAGTTAATACTCCACTAACTGTTCTTCAACGCAACACTGATACGTTGTAAAATATATAATTTTTTTTCTGTGTAATACTAACTTGCGATTTGGCAGTCAAAAGGGCCGATTCTGAAGTCAACAACCAGTTATATTATATCCTTAGTTGGTCTACACTAGAATAAGCCTTTTAGGCCCCCCCCAAAAAACAAACATTTGCAAAACTGTTTACTATCTCCTGCAACACATCTGAACATTGAGGCATCTAAAGATGAATGTGTTTTTGTAGGTGTAGCAGAAGGTGTGCCCAACACGTTCCACGAAAAAAGAGAAACCTGCATAACCGAATATCTTTTTACCATGATGCAAGTTTAAAATCGTGTACGAAAAGCAAATTTCCTAAAGAATATATCTAAATGAGAAAATTTTACTCTTAAATTGAATTAAAAAAATATCATTCTTTCTTGGGTCAGTCGCAATACGTAAATGGGGGATTAAGAGTTTCTGGCTTCAAACATAGTATCCTTATTAAAGATGAAATGCAAAAAACGATTGGATGTAAAAAATAATTAATTTTCAACGTTTCCTCCCGTCACACTTTGT